CCCACGCTGCTGGCCCCTGCTGGGCCTATGACCCTCCTGGCTAGGGGAAAGGGGGTGTCGCCTGCCCCGCAGCCCCCGGGGCTGGTGGCACGGGGGTTGGATGTGCCCCTCACCCCCTGTCCATTGGCTCCTTAGTGTGGCGGAAGAGGAGGGGGAATATATTTGTGTGCCTTTGCCTAGCTCTGGTGGGCATCACTGCTTATTCTTAGCACTAACTCGTTCTAATTGTAGACCCCAAGGTAATTTTTCCTCATTAGTAAGGCCACAGACTCTGCTCAGGGCCTTGCGGGGGATGTCCTGTCCAGGAGCTCCTACATGGGGGGAGTGTGGTGTCAGGGAGGAAAACTTCATCCTTGCCCCTTCCAGGAGGGATCTGCTGATGCTGCTCTGTGACCCCTCCTGTAGCAAAAACTCTTCTATGCTGGCACGTGCCTAAAATATAAGGCTCAAAAATCCTTTGATAATCCCTTTCATTGAAAGGGTTTTCGAAACACTGATGCTTAACGAGCGCCGACCCTCCCTAATTGACATGTATCTGTTATCCAAATGACTTTGTAGCGCTGGGGAGCTGTGGTGGCTTGGCAGAGGGACGTGCAGTTACTCAACAGTGAAGCTGGGGCTACCTCAGAGCCTCCTCGTTTCTGCTTTGAAGAAGAGCTACGAAGCTGGTGAAGGGTCTAGATAACCTACAGCAGCTGAAGGAATTGGGGTTGTTCAGCCTGGAGAAAAGGAGGCTGAGGGGAGACCTTATTGCTCTCTATAACTACCTGAAGGGAGGTTGTAGTGAGGCAGGGGTCAGTCTCTTCTCCTAAGTAACAAGCGATAGGACAAGAGGAAATGGCCTCAAGTTGCACCAGGGGAGGTTTAGATTGGATATTAGGAAAAACTTATTCACTGAAAGGATTGTCGAGCATTGGAACAGGTTGCCCAGGGAAGCGGTGGAGTCACTGTCCCTGGAGGTATTGATAAGATGAATACACGTGGTGCTGACGAGCATGGTTTAGTGGTGGACTTGGCAGTGCCAGGTTGATGGTTGGACGTGATGATCTTAAAGGTCTTTTCCAACCTAAATGATTATGATTCTATGCTTTGTGTTTGGGGCTGGTGGTGGCTGTGCTGGGCTATGTGCATGAGCAGACCCTCAGAGATTGCTCTGAGAAGGTATCTGGAAATAAAATGAGCATTTTTTTAAAAACTAAGCCAAACCCAATAATTCAAGCACCCATTTTGGCACATAAAAAAGAGGGTAAAAGGGCAAAAGGTAGCTGACAGCACTAGTGCAGTGTGTTAAGGGTAAGTCTGTGGTTCAAGCCTGTGTTGAGCTGTCCTGTGAAATCACTTTTGTTACTGACTTTCGTGAGGATTGAGGGAGATACTTGTTTTAAGTTTTTCCTTCCAGCACCGGTTATCTGAAATGTGGCCTGTGTGAGCCTGCGCGGAGCGTTTGTCCTCATTGCAGTGTGCGAAAAACCAGTGCTGTGATGCTGTCAAACTCCCATGGGACTGGTGATTAACACAGACACTGTCTTCTTCCCCTTAGGTCTCATTAACGACCATAAAAACACACATGGAGATGCACCGCGGCCACTGCCATCCGCACCACCAAGGTGGAACAACCCCCACCAGCCTGCCTTCAGCAGAAGAAGGGGAGCATTTTCGGCCAGGTACTCCCAACAGGCTCCCAGGGATTTTCAGCCGCGCCAGGGCCACTCCTGGCGGAAAAAATACTCCCTTGTCAACCGGCCACCGGGATCGGCGTGTGACATTGGAAGTGGTGGAAGGGCCAGCACGTCTCGGGCTTTTGGAAGCCATGGGGACAGCCAGACACCTGAGCCACCGGAATCATCCCCAGAGAGACACGTGGACTTAACCACAGATGGTAATATAGTTGTGGGGATCCAGCTGCCACAGAGGGGCGGTTCTTTCGTAGATATGGAAGGTTTCACTGACGTGGATTCTTACTGTGAGTTTTCTGGGCTGAAAACGATGGTTGCTGCTGCAGGTGATGGTAAAAATGTGCAGAAATCTCTCTACACGAGCGGAAATGAAGAGAGAAGACCCTCTCTCTCAGTTTCATTTAGTTCATCTCATCGGTTCGTGAGTTCAGCCTACGTGAGCGTGTCGGATAAGCCTAGAATGGTGCATCTAGCCGGTGATGTGTCTGGGAGCTCCCCCGTCTCTTGCGGAAGCTCCAGTGAAAACGCCGTGACACTGAAATCAGAGCCGCAGCAGCCTTCGATGTTGCCAGATCACGAGCCGGCTCAGCACTTGGTACGGAGGAAGGCAGAACCACTGGCTCCAGGGCAGTCCAGCTGTGAGCAAGTCAGGGATGCTTTCAGAGAGCCAAAGCTCCTTGGAAATAGTGAGACATGTGCTAGACCTGCTCAGGCTACGACTTTGGTGGTTGGGATGTCTCCAATGAAGAACAGGTTTTCCGTAGTCCCCAAAGCTCCTGGTCTTCAAAGAGTTGCCTCAACATCGGTCTCCAGCAAAGCTTCAAAGTTCAGGAAAACTAATTATACGTGGGTCGCAAACCCTGGTAAATGCTCTCGTACTGTGAAGAGATGGGTCAGCCCTAGAGCTTCTGAAAGTGCTAAGAAGGTTGCTGGTGGAGCAGACAGAGGTGCTAAACTATCGCCAAAAGCAGACTTGGGAGCAAAACTGAAGAAATCGGGACTGCAGTCCAAACTGGGTGTTTCTCCCAGTAAGTATAAGTGGAAAGCCTCTAGCCTGCAGACCTCACCTTCCACCTCCAAGTCAGCGTTCAGGTGGCGGTCTGAGGATCAGAAAAAGCCTCCAGCCCCCAACCTCCCTCAAGCTGGCACTGCCCTGCCACCTCCAAGCGCTGCATCTGTCAGTCTCAGCGGGGCGAGGTCCTCCTTCAATGATGCCGCTGCGCTGTCTAGCTATAAAGTGAAGAGTCGGACAAAAATCATCAAGAGAAAAGGAAGCTTGGGGTAAGTTGCTGGTTGTCTTCAGAGCGGTGTCGTTGCACTGGTTGTATTTTGTGGCTGTTGGCTTCATTGTAAGTGGTGGCTATAAGTGAAATTCTAGCGAGGGTTGTTGTATACTGTTGTATACTGCCTTTCTCTTTCCAAGTGCCGTGACTTTGTTCTGTCTGGAGGCATCCTGCTTTCCAGGGTTAGAAGGCCTCAGGTTTTAATTGTTTTAGCAGTCTGTGTAACTCTGACTTTAACCTTTCGAACAGAGCTGGGTTTTCTTCTCATTTCCCATCCTTCTTCTCCGAAGACTTCGCCACAGCACTTAGGAGACTCCTCCCTGACCTGAATAACAGACTAATATTCAAAGGGCAGGAAATAGCTGTCTTGATTTCATTTTCAAATTCCCATAACCTTGTTGTGTTGGGGGCTGGGGAAAGGAGGAGAAGTAGCTTGAATCACTGTGTCGTGTATGGTCTGTCCCTGTAAAGCATTGTGCAGACCCTGGGATGAAGCAGGGACGGGAGGCGAGCTCTGTGTGCTGGGAAGAAACATCGCCCGTGATGCTTTGCTGGTACTTCTCTCCTTGGGGAAGATTACTGCTATCCACCAGTAACGCAAAGCGTCCTCCTTGAAGTCTCTCACTCTTCTTTCTCCTTGTCAAGTGGGTGACAGATCTGTGGCTGTTGTAGCTTACCTTGGGAGAACATGCCATGCCAGACCAGCAGATACTCCTGGGCTCTCGTGGAGCAAGTTCTCCCCCCTGCCCGTGTCTGACAGGGACAGAGTACAATGGGAAATGTTATAAAGGAAGTTTGGTGGAAGGAAAAGGTGCGTGGGCTGAGTTATCTGCCAAAGGGGTTTGCACCAGGCTGGGAGTCGAGGGGAAACAGATAAGAGATTGGGACCGAACTTTCTCTGAAAGCTGGTGTGTCGTGGAAGTGCGGCGAGGGCTTCATTACGTTGTGCTCCCGGTGGGAAATCTGTTTTGTGCTGCTTTTTTCAGCAGGGCTGGATGCAAGCCCAGCCTGTGCTGCAGGGAGGGGACAAGCGGGATGGGGTGAGGGTTGGTGGCACAGCTGTTTGACCTCTACTCTACCACTGAACTCGGAAATAACCTCAGCGTAGTGGACATGTGGTTTGGCTCCTTTTTTGACATGGTAACTCCAAGCCTGAGCTTTTGAAAAAGGAGGACTGTGGCCTAAATAACTGTTCCAAGTGTGGCAATGAGCTGGTAACACAGTCCTGATTGAGGATCTGATGCCTTGTTTCCTCCTTCTGTTTCCCAGATCCTCTGATCATCGCTTCACCACAGGCTTCTGTCCTTGCCTTGTCCTCCTGGTTTGCTGGGGGATGTGTCTGTGGGTGGGTTGTGCTGGAGTAAGGTGCTTGGAGAAGCTGGGATTGTTTTGGGGATTTTTGGCAGTTGGGGAGATGAGACCCTCTACCCCACCCCCCCATCTTGCTTAAGGACAGCATCCTCTTCCCTGCAACTGTTGAGCAAAAAGCAGAAGGGAATGAGTTGAGTTAGGCTGTCAGACACCTCGTTCTCCATCTGTCCTTTGCCAGAAATTCATCACGCTTGCCTATTCACTTGCAATTTTCTCTTCAGTGCTTCTTATCACCCTTGGGTAGGGGAGCAGCGTGGAGCTTGGTGACCCAGCTTCTCTTCTGAGCTCCGGACAAGGGAACCAAGTGTATTTTGGTCACCCCTCTACCATTTTTTAACTGTGTGGTGGTGTGTCTTTGCAGTTCCCCGACAGATAAGAAGAACAGCTCCTCTCCCACCACGCTTCTGAAAAGCCACTTCCATCTCAGGAAGAAGAACTCCTTGCGAGGGAAACCTTCTGCGACACCGAAACGCTCCTCGCCCAAGGGCCTGGTGCAGATCACCAAGCACAGGCTCTGCAGGCTGCCGGCCACCAGAGTGCAGGTCTCCACCAAAGAAGGTAGGAACAACTGTCCCAAGGGGTGACTGCTTGCTGACCGCGTGCTGGTGAAGCAGTTCCAATGGAGACTCTTGGATTTGGAAATGGGTTACCAGGTCCTCCAGGAGCTGAATCTGATGTTGTTAGTCCTGGAGCAAACATTGCAGAGTAGACGTTTGGCTGGAGTAAGACTTCTGCCTTACCCCAGAGCTGTCTTGTGCTTTGACACCTCCAGACAAGGCCATTTTAAAGCTGCTTCTTGCTTTTAATGTAGTTTTGCTGGACTTACAGGCCTGAAATAGGGAAGTCCTCAAGGAAGGAAGAGGATGGCTGAGGCAGTAACACATCTGTAAGACTAATCTCCCCTTTTTGCACCGGGCAAAAGCTTGTGCGTGTAGTGAGATACTCCTCTAGCAACTACAGACCTAATGCACCTGTATTGCAGGGCTGTGTCTGTGGGCGTCTAGGTTTTATATGTAGTTTGCTTAAAATAGCAGTAATTAGAGGAGTACTGGGTCCATCGTGTTTGTGAACGGGTAATTTGTGCCTGTGTTCTGCTCCCTTGGGTTGGCAACAGTCAGAGCAGAAATCAGCTGCTTTGGGCTTGGAGAGCTGCATGTGTGAAACATTTTTGTGATGTTTCTGGCTCCCAAGTCTGGTTCTGCTATTCAGTGGCGACATTATCATGCACAAGTGGCTTCAACCTCCTGAGATTCAGTTTCTTCAAACGTATATGAAGCAAGTTTTGCTTGTGTTCCTGCTCTGTGCTTGCTCATGTACGATGAGGTGGCCAGTGACACTGCGGTAAGCAATGCTTGAGTGGGGAGGGCTATTCGGGCCACAACGTGTCTGCGATCTGTCTCCCGAAGTACAGCTGTTGAGCCTGTTTTCAGGAAGACGCTTCTGTGGTTTCCTGCTCTGCACTTCAACTACCGAGTTTACACGTGTGATTATAGTTATTTTGTGTTCAGACAAATAGCTGTGCGTTGAGATGTTGTGTTTTGACGGATGAAAAGACAGGAATGGAGGCTTGCGGTTCAGGAAAGGGAAAAGCTTTTTGTGGGAGGAGAAGGAAAAAGGTTTTTTTTTCTTTTAATGTGTGTGTTTGAGGAGGGGTTGGGAGGGGTGGTGGGGGAGGCTGGGAGGATCTGGTGCTTCAGGAGGTGGGCAGTGACTCATGGAAGGGGCAGGGAGGATAAGATGAGCCTTTGTGCAGTTGTGTTGGTAGTCCAGCATTCGAGCAGTTGCCTGATCTTGGAGTCTGAGTCTTGCTCCGTTTAAGGATGTCACCAAACCCTTTGGTGTCTGGAAAGTCATGAAGGCTTCACCTCCAGGCACTGTGTTGGATGTTCTCATGCAGTGCGTGAAAGCAACATGTACGGTTGGAGGTCTTGGTCGAATTTGATTGCTCTTCTGTGATCTCTGAAACCAGAGGTGGCGGATACAGCAGCTGGCCCGATCCAGCTGTGATGGTGACATTGAGGCAGTCAAGGCTTTTCTTCCTTGGGTGATGGTGATGTGTGGGATGGGGAATGCAGCCCTTCAGCCTCCCAAGAAATGTCCACTGCTTGTTCTGAGGTGAATTTAGGACTCACACCTCACAAACCGCTTGTTGGGGACCTTTCTACACTGGAGCATGTCCAGCGTTGAATAAATCTTTATGCTGTAAAGCTCCTTTCTGAAGAACTTACTGTGCTTGCTGAGAGCCTGATCGGAGCAGCTCTGCTGTAGGCTCTGGAGATGCAGGGCAATTTGGGGTTGCAACAGCACTTTACAGATGAGGAAATTGAGACGCTGCTGGTTACAGGCATGGAAGCTGTTTGGGTGATCTGGGAACAGACTTGAGGTTTGAGGTAAAACAGAACCGGTTTTCTATTCAGTAATTTTACTTTGCAGCTAAACCTGTTCTATATCCAACCGAACTCTCTGAAATTCATGGCATATTGTCCAGAAACTGTTCGCTCCCAGAGAGATAAGACCTGATTGTTTCTAATTTATGCCAAGGAATGGTATGCAGGGAGGCTCTTCCTTATCCTTACACTTACTGCTATAACAACCAAGGTTAAAACAGATTCTTGCTCTCTGTTTAGCCCTGTGTTTATACCCAGGTTTCGGCAGAGCAGAGGCCTTGCTGTACTTTGCTCAGCTCTGTGCGTCGTCGCAGAGGTGACAGCATTGAAGCTGCTGCCTTGGGAAGGCTCCTGGCACCCATCGAAGCTCGCTTGACTTGGCAAACATCTCTTCTTTGTAGAAGCTGTCAGTAAAAACGTGTACCCAACCAAAGTGAAACTTCACCTAGGTTAAGAATATACAAAATGGATCGCATTCTTCTGCCCCCCTGGGAGCCTGACTGGCAGCTGCCAGAAGCTCGTGTCTTTTGGGAGCGTATTCTGAATCCTGGTTCCTTGATTGAAGGTAATGTTGCCATACTGAAAAGATTTTTGATCTTAAACTGCATAGGGCTGGAAATATGTAGGTAAAGCAGAAACATGGTTGTGATCTTGGCTTTGATCAAAGTAGAAGTTGGCAAATAAAAAAGTGTAGATAAAGTAGGGGGGGGGAGGGAATAGGTCTGAAAGTTACTTTGGGGAAGTGTGTAGTTCATTCCCCTGTCCAAAGTGGATCAAATTATCAAACTGTTCCTGAGAGATGCTAGCCAAGCCTAGTGCAGACAAAACCCTAATTTATAAGGGTTGTGAGTTTTCTGTGTTGAAGTGACTTACATTATTTTCCAGCTTGGGTCTGTGTGCTTCACAGTCTTAGTTCGGAGATGTGGAAAGGAGTATCTGCTTTAATAAAACTTGGTGACCGTGCCTTGTGGCTCTTTTTCTTTGCAAACGGCAGTACCTGCTGTAAAAATATATCTTGATTTGGGTCTTAAAATGACTAAAAGCAAAAGGAAATGTCTTGCCTGCCTTTTCCTGTGTGTATATGTGTGTGTGCACATGCAAGGCTGCTTTTTCTCACTTCATAAATGCCACAAATCCTTCTTTTCCCTGTGTCTCGCTGGGATAGTGGGAGCACAGACACTGATGCCTTGGACAGTGAATGAAAAATGCTTCCCCACCATAATTACGAAACAGCTTCTAAATGTTTTTCTTGCCTTCTGCAGCAGAGAGGAATTATACGCTGATAGATCAGCCATCATTTGGACTGGAAAATGGACTGGCAAGTGGCACTGGGATCCATTCACTTGAAGCCCTGGAAGGACTTTTTAGGCTGCCTTTCTCCTCCTCAGGGAGGGAGGGTACAAGGTTGTTTCTGCTGTGGTTTCTGCTCCTTTGGGCACCCTCTCTGCAGAGCTGAATTAAATACATCTTTCTGCTAAGAGGACTTCACACAGTTGAGATCTCTCCCTGGGTACTTTTGCTCCTGACGTGGTGACTGTGAGAACTTGGCTGTGTCCTGTCTTCCTGGGAGAGGTTCTCAAAGCTGCGACGCAACTGTGTAAGTTCGACAGTTCTTGTCATCTATTCTCTACCACACTTGCAGGCTCTCACCTCACTGCTGGGACATGGAGCGTTAAATGCTGATACCGTCAAGGTAGATGGTTGCTGGTAATTTAACCTCTGTTGTACCATCATCTCGGGGGATCCCAGAAGACTCGATTTGCTCCTTCCTATGCCATCGACAGCTCTGTGAGGCAGCTGCCAAGCAGCGTGTGGCTGCTTTGTTTCTCCAGGTAGCAGAGAAATTCAGCAAGAGTCTTGACGGCTTTGGAATTGCAAAATGCATGGATGGATGCGGCTTGCCGGGCCTCTGGTTAAGGCTGAGGACTAGCAACTTGTCTGCCCCGCACATTCTTGCTTTTACCTTCCCCTCAGCAACAGCCTTGCCTGTAGCATGGAGCAACTAAGTCCAGCAGACCTTGACCCTTCGTGCTCACCTCCGTAATTAACCTCTGGATTTGATTCCTTTGATTAGAATTGAGTTTATAGGTTTGAATCCCTTATACCTTAAGGCTTTTCTTGGAGAGGGTTCAATCCTAGGCAGCGTATTTGCAGTTTAATGTGTTGAACTATTCTTATGCTCTGGGTTTCTACAGCTATTGAATTGTTGCTGGATGGTTCCTACGTGTGCCGGACTCTTTTTTTTGTTTGTTTGTTTGGTTTTTTTTTTTTGTTTTCACAGTGAGACAGGTATGGTCTCGTACAAAGAAGTGGTTAGATGTTGGATGGGGCAGGGACATTTTCAAGGCAGCATCCCACAGTCTGATGAGAGAGATGAGCCATTGATAGGGCTTGGCACAGCTCAGGTGTCACTCCCAGTTGGTGCCCCTAAATATATAATTATGTACTAGGTGTTTTCTGGTTTTACAGCAGTCCTGTAGTGAGCTGGAAATAAGTGAAGGCTTGTGGGTTGAATTCCTGGCTCTCGGGTTGTCTGAGAGGTTTTGGGAAGGTTGGTTTTATTTCTCTCTGTTTCTGCAAAGTTGGGGGGATTAATCAGGTGGTGGAATTTCAAGTCTTGCCTCACAAGGGAAGTTGGTGGGGTACAGAGACGTTACTGGGAGCAGAGTCAAGCACAAATGGAGCAGTGAGGCTGATGTTAAGTCTCTGGCTTGATGCCGAAGCAACACGTGTTGCTTCTCTTGCTGGGAGCAGACTGGTGACCGTCCTGGGCCAGCTGAAGGGCTTACCTCTGATTAGTTTGTCGTCTTGGGTCTGGATATGCATGACACCCAGCTAACAAACTAATGCGAAAGCTGGATGGTTTGTGCTGGGCTTGTGATCTGACCAAATGGATGCGTTTGCACTGGAGCCTGGATCTGATGGGTGCCAATGCCCGCATTGGTGAGTGAGTGCCCAGCACACCTGCATCCCCAGGGAGCTGCGAGATCCCCTGCCAGACACAAACATCAGGGCTGAGGGCAGAAGGACGGCTGGGGAGGAGCGTGCCCTGCTTCAGGTACTGCAGCGTGGGTGCAAAAAGCTAGGTCAGCCCCTTCCTTCCCCGCTGAGGCAGGTGGTGGTGTGACACAGCTTTGCTGTGTTCTTGTTTGCCCTGTTAAACAGGCTTTT